CAATTCATCCAGTGGTTTTTGAGTTATGTTAATCCTACAAATGAACATTACATTTTTATGTATATAGATTCAAAAACATTGAACCTACTGATGCAATTGTGTCCAAATTTGGCGTCAATTCATCCAGTGGTTTTTGAGTTATGTTAATCCTACAAATGAATATTACATTTTTATTTATATAGATTCAAAAACATTGAACCTACTGATGCCTCGGTTAATGTAATTTTATTGGTATCTATTTTTATTTTGAAATTGACCCATAGCTACTGCATTTTCCACCCTCGGCTTATACTCGAGTCAATTCATTTTCTCAGTTTTTTGTGGTAAAATTAGGTGCATCGGCTTATATTCGGGTTGGTTTATATTCGATTATATATGGAAATCTCCTCTGAGATAACCATGAGAAAACATGAAATTTGAGGGAAAGAGCTAGAGCCCATTTATGCTACACAACTATAGCACTACTTTTTATTTTAACTGTCATGGCAACAACCTGTGGAATCCTAGGCTTTGTAGTCTGGTCACTCGAGTCCTCGATCTGAGAATTCTAAATTCTGAATTGCCACTGCCCTGGTCTCAGAGGAAGAGAAGACATGGACACATCTCTTTCATGCCTAGACCCAGAAACAGATGAACTATTCCTCTATCTGAACTGTCACTACTATGGCCTTGGAAAGAGAGTGTAAGCCTGAAGGCAGATAACTTTTTTGTTTTGTCGATGGCTTTCATGGCCAGAATCACTGGGTTGTTGTGTGTTTTCCAGGCTGTATGGCCATGTCCCAGAAGCATTCTCTCCTGATGTTTCGCCTGCATCTGTGGTAGGCATCCTCAGATGTTGTGAGGTCTTGTTCTTTTATTTGTGTTTTGTTCTTTTATTTCTAAAACATCATGTTTAGTGATGGTGCATATAAATAGAGGCTGAGGACAAAGATAATCAAAAATGTAACTTCCTACACTGCAGATCCTAGGATTCCATGGAATTTTGCTATGAAATTGAAATAGAATATAGTTTCAATGGGCCTTTGGGGATGTCATTAAGCACCAAGTACAGTCATTCACCATTGTGGATTGAAACACAGAGAGAGAGAGACATTCAAGTTCAAGTTCACATTATTATGGTCTATGATCAGCTCATGAGAAGAAGGACACAGCCCCACACAAGCACATCAGGTCTAAGGGTCAAGCGATTTAAAACTTTAAAACTCTAAAACTTTAAAACAAGTGCATCATAGCCAGAACATCAAGACCAGAGTATATCAAAAACCAACACAATTAATGGATTTAAAAGGGAAGGAGTCTGAAGGGAAGGGATTGGGGTGCTCATGTGGCACAGGAAATGGTCCCTTGAATTTACCTCTTCTCTAAATTCTGCAGAATTCAATGAAAAAAAAATGACAGGCTCAGAATTTTTGGATTTCTCAATTGATCAGCCAGGCTTAAATCTGACTAGAACATGGAAGTAGGACTTTGTGTTTATTTGTTATAATTGATAACTTTTCTATGATTCAAGGAACTATCAGGGACCACAACTGCAAGAAAATGAACTTATTCAGTATAGTAAGATTCCTATAACAACGGAACTCATACCCAAATTTTCACTTATCTGTGTCTAGGTTAAATAGTCTCTGGGAAAAATTGCTAGGTCATTCAGATGATTCTATGGCATGCTTTCCCCTGGAAGTTTCCATATAGTTACTTTGCATGACAAAGAACATTCCTAGAGAGGATGGTCCCAGGGTGACTATACTGGGACTGAAAGTCGGATCATTTTGTTTGGACATATCTACAGTTACAAGTAACCGTAGTCCAGATGGAAACATTTTCCATGAATATGAGGGTCTTATTTTTTATGTTCTAAGTTAAGGTAGCACCCAACTAAGGATGCACTGTAGAATTAATGCAATTTGATATTGCTTTAAACTTCCATAGCTTCTATACTATTGACTCATGGCAGTTAAAATTGTAAACTGCATTAATTCTACAATGTAGAACCAGTCTAAAATCTCCTTCTGATGTTAGCAACAACAACAACACTTTATTTATGTTCCACCCTATCTCCCCAAGGGGACTCAGTGTGAATCACAGTGCACATATGTGGCAAACATTCAATGCTGTTTGGACAGAACAGAAGAAAGGAGGTATGTTGTGTCAATGTCCAGCTTTTTGACACCTTTGGAGGTTGTGCTCAAATCCAGTCCCGGGGGGTGCTATCACGCCATCCTCTATGACGAAGAACCATCAGGACTTCTTCCACTTTGGTTTCTGGCATTTTCTGGTCTTTTTTTCTTTTATGGTGTCATAAAATATCTCCTCCACTTTTTAGTGGCACCTAATTTCTTTACTTACAGCTCTAAGCTGAATTGCTTAGGTAAACTGAGTTGGGCTGGCAGTTGGGTGCTCACTTCAACCTGGGCTTTGAACTGGCAACGTTTTGATTGGTAGATCTTATTGCTTGCTGGTGGTGACTCACCAGCTGTGCTTTAGTCCAACCCTGTTACTTCTTCAGAATGAACTTGATCCATCAGGGACCACCTTTTATGTTCATGGGACAGAAAAGGAGAAAGAAACAGCTGTTGTCCAACTTGAGTTTTGGATATAATCCAATATTATTATGGAAATAATGCATTCTTAGGATGTTAGTGTACTACAGACATGATGTACTACAGACATGTAGTATCAAATGGGGCCATAACTTCTTGTTGTTTTGTGCCTTCAAGTTGTAACTATATCCTAAGGTTTTCTTGGCAAGATTTATTCAGTGAATGTTCACATTATCACTTTCCTCTAAGCTGAGAGGGAGTGTTTTGCTCAAGGTCAGCATGGCAAAGCTGGTTAAAGATATTGTAAAGCTACAATTCCTATGAGCCCATAGCATTGAACAGTGGCAGTTAAAGTGGTGTCAAGCTGCATTCATTTTACAGTATAGATCATCTATAGTCATGTCTTACAAAACAGATATGTCAAACCAAGGTGTGAAAAACCTGTATGCAATAGAGCAATCCAAATTCCCATAAAACCAGCATATAATTGTTTTTGTTTTTAAAGGTTCTTATGACCCTTAATCTTGTAGGCTTGTGTTAATTCATATATTTGGCCCTTGGCCAAATATATCGGGCCTAAAACTCCAAAGAGTGGTTGCTATAGCAGTAAGAAGTAGGACAAAAATAGATTGGGATCTTAATGTATCTTCATCTCTGCAAAGCAGTTATTTATCTGAATGTTTTGCATTCTTAACAATAGTTATACGCATTCTTAACTGCAGTTAGGCAAGAGCACTTTAAACGAGTGTTATGACCCTTGGATATATAGCTGAACCAATCCTGAGATGTCACTGCATTTAATTGCTAATTCCAGCAAACTCATTTTGTCCATAAGGCAATTTCTTGCATTTTTGAGACTTACCTGGCTGTTATTGATTCTTAGAAATTCTGTATGCTGTACCCTTCATACCTATTTTGCTGAAAGTTGTTCTTATCTATCTGTGCACATAAAAAAAGTGAAAAATGTACAGGAAAAACAAAATGCAAAGATACAGAATGGGGGACGCCTGGCTCGAGAGCAGTATGTGTGAAAAAGATTTTGGAGTCCTTGTGGACAGCAAGTTAAACATGAGCCAACAATGTGATGTGGCGGCAAAAAAAGCCAATGGGATTTTGGCCTGCATCAATAGGAGCATAGTGTCTAGATCTAGGGAAGTAATGCTGCCTCTATTCTGCCTTGGTTAGACCACAACTGGAATATTGTGTCCAATTCTGGGCACCACAACTGAAGAGAGATGTTGACAAGCTGGAATGTGTCCAGAGGAGGGCGACTAAAATGATCAAGGGTCTGGAGGACAAGCCCTATGAAGAGTGGCTTAAAGAGCTGGGCATGTTTAGCCTGAAGAAGAGAAGGCTGAGAGGAGACATGATAACCATGTATAAATATGTGAGAGGAAGTCACAGGGAGGAGGGAGCAAGCTTTTTTTCTGCTTCCCTGGAGACTTGGCTTCAAACTACAAGAGAGGAGATTCCATCTGAACATTAGGAAGAACTTCCTGACTGTGAGAGCTGTTCAGCAGTGGAACTCTGCCCCGGAGTGTGGTGGAGGCTCCTTCTTTGGAGGCTTTTAATCAGAGGCTGGATGGCCATCTGTCAGGGGTACTTTGAATGCAATTCCTGCTTCTTGGCAGGGGGTTGGACTGGATGGCTCATGAGGTCTCTTCCAACTCTATGATTCTATGTGTGTATGTGGCAGAGGTGTCCTCTTACATAGACAGTCTCCCACCTCCACAAACAGCTATAACCCACAGTGCTGAGGAGCCATTTAAGATTGTAGTGAGCACCATGAAAATGTAGCCCAAGCCCTGCCAGTGTCCTCCCCAAACACCATACTGCTCACCACCCAAGTGAAGGCTTTCATTTTGGGACAATTTCATCCTAAATGTGCTGTTTTTCCTTTAGAATGGATATCCCAGGGTTCCTTTTTCTCTCCATGGGTTTGGAATTTGCATGACCCCACCCACTGCCTCCCCCTTAAGCCTTTCCTACCCTTTCCTATGGCACGCAGCAAATAGGAATTGATCAGCAACTGAACAAGAGGTTTGGGAAGAATTCACCATGATTTATATGAATTGTAGTTCACCTACATCCAGAGAGCACTGTGAACCCAACCAACAATGGATCTGGACCAAACTTGCAATGGATGATGGGATTTGCAGTACCGTCACACACGTTCATAGACTACTGCGATCCCCACAAATGACCTGGACCAAACTTGGCACACAAGGCTCACCATATGTCCTAGTATGGTTTGGGGAGGCTGGACCACAGACGATAAGATTTACAGTACCTTCACCCAATTCAGCTCCCGCAGACCACTGTGACCCCCATGAATGATGGACCTGGACCAAACTACTGTACCTGAGAAATATTTCACAACTCATAAGGTCATACTGTAAATGTCTTTTTTTTGCTGTACTTTTTAACATTAACTCTACTTGTTATTTCTCTTTTGTACAGGCTAATGATATTGTCTACTATAATGCAAAGGATGACCTCAATGAGGTAAGTATGTTTTTTTCAGAATATGTACAGTTCAATGACTCTTAAAAGACCAAAACTTTCATTACTACACCGTAATCATGGCCACCTGTACTAACACTGTCTTTGAACAAAAGGTGTCTGGAAGGGTATGTTTGTTTAAGTACCATTTTTAAAAATGTATGTTTCTCAAAACACACACATTTAAAATGGTAGAAATAACTTCAAGCAGAATTTTAGAGAGTTTTGGTGTATTCTGTGATTTTCTATCTTCAGGAGACTTATGGACAGCTAGATTTTCAGAGAACGGTTGCTGATTAAAATAAGAAACCACATTGTCAGCCTCTATCCAATTTATACAGTCAGCTAGGAGGGATGTTGTTAGAATGATGGGAAGCGTCTCTCACTTCGTAACAGTTCCTGATGTGAACTAGGCCTAGAGAGAAAGGAATGAAAGAAATGTGCAAACTGAGGCTATTGTTAAATTCTGAGCAATCTGTGTGCTGTTTTCTGTTACTTTGTTTAACTTTGTGTTGTAAGCATTGAGAGAAAGCAGTCTCAGAATATGAACTCGAAGTGAGATGTCATGCAATTAAGATCTGTATTTATCTGTGTAATTTTTAACTTACATATACAAACAAAAACCTACATTAAGCATGAGGTGGGATGATCATTCAATGGATGAGTTCTTGAACATATGCAGAGAGCATTTTTTCTTTATATCAAACACATTGCAGCCTTCTGCCACGTGTAATTGTGTAGAAGGACTGTGACCAATTGAGGTTGAAAGAGAAAATCTTGTCTATTCCAGGTCCTGCAACCTGCCAATTTGAAATGAACCTTATAGATGCAAACTATAAGCTAATAGTGAAGTTTCAATACATGCATTAATCAGATCAACATGCTTCATTTGCACATAGTATAAAATTTGATTTAAGATTGATGGCATCATTGTTGCACTTGACACTAGTGCTATAAGATAATTACAGACGGTACATTGATCATGTCAAGCAAATAGTTCTGAGATTCATGCATGCCATATAGAAATTTAGATGAAGATACAGTAAAGTTTCTTCACAGCCAAAAAGTGCCCGTATTTAAAAATGTTATTAAAAGCTATTTAACTTCCCACCTCTCATTCACATAAGCTCAAATAATTTCATCTCCTGGAGTGAAAACAGTTGAATGTTTTTATTCCCTGAAGCTGAAAGAAAATGATCTAAATATGCATCCCCTTTCTGTATGCTCAGTTGATGGTTCCAGATGTTGACTTGCATTACACTTGCTAGAGACTGTCTCACATATGAAGAAATCTATATTTTTGCGCTCTTTTATTATTACTATTTTTGTGTCTTCTGAATTATTTCTTAACATAGGCGTTCACTAAGCTTTGCACTGGTATGAATGTATATGTGATATATCATACACATGTTTGTATCATCAGCTGAAACAGTGGCATCACTAAAGGAGTCCTGGATGTGCCCTCCACATTGGGTGACACCATCACAGGGAGCAATGCCAAAATGAGAAGGCATCCCTACTTGGTTTAAGCAAAGCAAAGAAGGAAGCCCATTCAGGAAATTGTGGCAGGTTCATCTTACAGTATGCCCTGCAACATAATATCATATGCTTCACCCTCTATCCCTCCCTTTACTAGCTCTTTTCTCATATTATAACAACATCAACCAAAAACTTTGAAAAAGAGAAAAGCCCTTCTCTTCTTCTTTTTTATTTAATTTTTTTATTAGGGATTTTTCACATTATATACAGACGTCGGGTGGCTACACACATACACTTATACATACAGATACGTGAACTAATACCAGTACACGTGTGAATATAGATACACTAGGAAACTCCCTGTACCCCAGTACACTTCCGAATGCACCCATGATAATAACTCCTCGGGGGTAGGTGGGAGGGGGATGAGGGGGATGGGGAAAGGGGGTAATGGGTATAGGGAAACACAAAAGGGGAGGGTTATGGTTAGGATAACATACAAGCATGTAAACAAACAAATGGACTTCCCCAACAAATCGCGAGGTATATGAGTTAAATACTTGTACTCAATATTCTTTTTACAGTTAACATCGTCATCTTTACCATATTTATCGCATATTATTCAAAACATAATGTTTTTCTTGTCTTTCATATACTGTCTTAAAGGTTGCCAATCGATCCTTCTTTTTTTACTAACATCATAAACCATATTTGCCAAGGAGTCTAGTTCCACGAAGTCGCTGATTTTTAACAGCCAGGCCTCCGTTGTCGGCAGTTCTTTTGTTTTCCATTTGCTGGCAAACACTGTTCTCGCCGCGGCGGAGAGATGGTATAAAAGCATCTCCTTGTTTCGCTGCAACTTAAAATCTAGTAAGTGTAGAAGATAGTATTCCGCTCTCATCTCAAATTTGACTTGCAGTATTCCTTGCACTTGGTAGTGGATTTCCCTCCAATAAGTCCTAGCTTTCTTACACTCCCACCACATATGCAGGTACGAGCCTAGGTGTTTTCTTCTTCATGCAAAAAGTGAATGAAAGGTTACCAGTCTTTTTTTAAAAAAGAACAAACAAAAAACCCTATGTCCGTTCTTTTAGTAGACATGTTAATTTGTCCATTTCAGCCAAGCCCATAATTTTTATTATCCATTCCTCCATTGTTAGTATTGTTGTACTCTTCCATTTCTGTGCGTAGAGTAGCCTGGCTGCTGTGGTCATATATTGTCATAGTTTGTCCTGGTTATTTTTTATCAGTCAGACTGTCTGCAGTTTTAGCTGGATGCTTCCCCCTAAAATTTTCTGGATCACTGTGTGTATTTGAATCCAATATTTCTTGGCATGTTTACATATCCACCACATATGATAGAAAGACACCACTTGTTGTTTACATTTCCAACAAATATTGGAGCCCTTTATATATATCTTAGAGAGCTTTTATGAATACCATCGGTATATCATTTTATAGAAATTCTCAAGTTATAACATAACATGAATTGTGACCCTTTAGTCCACATTTTCTCCCATTGTTCCAACATTATATTGTGGCCCACATTTTGTGCTCACTTTATCATGCATTCTTTAACTGCCTCTTTCATTTCTCACATTATAACTGTAATAGCTATGAAACAAATGTGGCTGTATCAAGCTTACTCTGGGTTTTAAAAATTTCATTAGCTAACCCATTCACAAATGGTGGCTTCAGTTTAGCATTCAAAGACAATAAATAGTCAAAGTCACATCCGGATGGACAAAATTAAAATCCATATTTTCTCACCTTGTACCAAAGGACCGTGTTCAGATTTAAAGTCAGAGTAAAGCTGTTTGTTGTAGCCAGAATTGTGCTGGTGTACTATATAAGTAGTAGGGCTGGGTAACCACAGAAAAATTTGTTTCTAAACTCGATTCGTTTTTAGGGGGTTTTTGCGTTTCGTTTTTTAAAAGAATTCCGAAATTTTCTTTAAAAAAGTTCGAAATATACGAAATTTCGGAAATTACGAAACAATTACGAAACAATACGAATCGATTCGTTAATGGCGGACGCGATTGCGCAATACGCTAAAAAAAACCCTCCAAATGGGACAGGGGGAACTTCTGAAGCTTCCCTCTCCCTCTGTTGTTGACTGTTGGTGTGATAATTTATTTTTTTATCACTGATAAAACAAACAACAACTATAAAACTTGCACCAGACATACGGAAATAATAACAAAACAATTTCGAAACATTTCGAAACAATTACGAAACAATTACGAAATAAATTGAAAAATTCGTTTCGATTTTTAGTTGCTCCTGCATGGCTCAATATCGGATCGTAAGCTAATTTAAATACGAATCAATAACGAATTACGAAATTAACGAACAAAACCGCCCAGCCCTAATAAGTAGCTGCAGTAAGGATAGAATGAATATACAAATGATGAATAATAGATTTTTTGAAGTTAGGAAACCCTGATGAAGAGAATCCTAGACGTGTGGCAATGTTTGCAGTTTAAAAGTTATGTGAGTATATTTGTGTTTGCAGAAAACAGCATTTTCTAAACAGAAAATAGCATTTCTGCACAGAAAAAAAATCTTCTAGAAAATACCATGTGTATAAAATGTTTCTGTACCAAAATAATGATCTCCATACAAATCATGCTGTTTTCTGTACCATAATGTCAGAAACCATGGTTTTGTGCAGAAATGTTATTTCCCCCCCAGAAATATAGTTTTCTACACACACTATTATTTTCTCTATGATAACTCCACCACCCCCCTTTTTTGCACAGAATAAGGCTGAACTTCAAACAATCTTTAAAAACTGCAGATTTTGATTACTTTTTTACAGCTAGAAAAATATAGTTAAATTATTCATTCTGATCTAAGAAATGAAATTTACAAAGCTTTGCCTTTCCAAGCTGCCCATTTTTGATGAACAATAAGGGAATTCAGAAGAAATCTGCCAGGATCATGGAGTCAATTTCATACTTTCTGGGGTTTTGTGGGGGGGGGGGGGGTTGTGAACACAGCATTCATATCCTTTTTCTTCATGCCACCACCATCACCTTCACCTGCACAGTCAGACACATTGCCTTTTGAAAAATAGATATTTGTAAAACAACATCTCTCCCACTAGTTACTACTCCATTTTCCTATCTCACTCAATCTCTCCTGTTTTTATCCTCACATCTGGCCCAGCCCACTTTGTCCAACTCCTTGTTTTAAACTTTTCACCTTACCTTATACCTGGTGTTTTATCCTACTGTGTTATTATTTATTTCCTGTTTGTACTTTATTTGAATTATTATTTGCTGTATGTATTTTATTTTGTTTATTGTATTTGTTGGGCTTACCTCGTGTTAGCTGCCCCGAGTCCCTGAGGGGAGATGGTGGCAGGTATAAATAAAGTTTAATTAATAATAACATTGCTCAATCATTATAATTCATTACACATGATAGCAATTATTGAAAGACCCTAATTTACATAGATTAGCAAAGTGTCAGGATATAACCATCTATATGTTCATGTCATTAGAGTGTGTGATGCTCAA